TTTGKWWWTTTTTGTTTCAGTGTATTTTTCGGTGCAAACCAACTGYGGCTATTCTAGTATAAATGGACATAGTGGCCGGTTTACTTCACCTAATTACCCTTCAAACTATRMTRATCAWCAAAGCTGTTATTGGACGCTCACATCCAATACAAGAATTACACTTTCATTTGAAAGTTTTATTCTTGAGGGCTGCTGTGATTACGTTCGCGTTTACGACGGTGATTCGACTTCACATACTTCACTTGGTSAATTTARCGGCRATGTCGGACCTCCATCTGTTTCCWGTTCGTCCAACCAGATGCATATYACYTTYCAAACTGATMRTTCGGSAAYCTWYMMAGGATTTTCGRCAATATATGATGGTAAGATSCAATAAACTATTTAGTGCTGTTTAATTCAAAAATTATCATATATAAGATCATCCTCAAATTATCTCAAGACCTCCTAAGCCATTGAGTAAGACTTGAAAAACTGGAAGTGAATATTGCAGGAAGACCCCAGGCCTAGAGTATTTTGACCATAGCTTTTTTTATTTTTTTATTTATTTATTTATTTTATTATTATTATTTTTTTTTTGTAGTCGCAATACTTCGAAAATTAAATTATTCATAATCAAACTGGTCGATCTTTTTATCGAACAGCGGGAAGCACTTCTCTAGTCTCTATACTTCGCTTCTATGTTAAGTCTTCATGCCGCTGCAACGTGTTTTCAAGAGAAACATAGAGATCGATGGGTCAATCGTCTACTATATGGCCCCTTTATATGATCAACCAAACTGTTGTTGTCAAACTCTCTTCTTTAAAACAAACACAATTTTCACCATCAATTCTTCCACATCTCACAATCTGGCAAATAACTGGCTTTTAAGCGATCTTAAGAAAAACCTTAGAAATGTCCATCAGGTAGGGTAAATGAAGCAAGACTGGTAATTAACAAGGCATTCAATAATTTGCAGACATGACACTAAATCCAGTTAACCGTTCGCTTAGTCAATACCTGCAATCTGCTCAGTCAGTTGTTGTTGGTAACTTGCTTTCTTATCACGTTTTTCAGAGATTGGATTAGCAAATCATGCGTGTTCTTCCTATACCGAGATAACTGATGGAACTCGACATGTCAATTACGGGGACGTTAGCACCCAGTGCGACAATGGTTTGTCCGTACTATGGTACCGTTTGAATGGTGCAGCCGGTACACGTATGCCAACATCTTGCGTACCAGAAAATCAGTGCGATACTGATGCTGCTGGCTGGTTAGATGGTGTTCACCCGACGGTGCAAGAAGGAATAGTCCCACGAAAAGTTTGCTTTCACTGGTCATCCAATTGCTGCCTATGGGATACAAGTATACGTATGCTTAACTGTGGAGTATTTTATGTGTTTGAGTTTAAGCCCCCTGATGATGGCTGCTCCCTTCGATACTGTGGAACAAATTAGGAACACGTAGTCATCGTAACCTGTATTCAAGACCAAAGTTTTAACAAACTCGTCTTTGTAGCATATAGTAATCATGTACCAAAGAAGTTATATCAGAATTGTGTGTAACAGAGGTAAGACTGATAAATTGGATAGCTTGAGCGTCATTGTCCGATTTCATATTGTGAGAGACTAGGTACAAGTTCCTTAATTCGCACGATGGTGAGATAAGACTTATATAGAACGAAAGATCGCACTGTAAATATGAAGCTTAGAAAGTTTAGTGTTAATCGGTTCAAACGTAAACGATTGGCAGCTTTTCAGAAATTATAGATTTTACAAAAAAATGTAAATGGGAATTTAGAAAAATCCGGACGCAGCGTCTGGCATTCCATACATTTCTTCCGAGATCCTTGCGTTTTTGAAAGACTGTAACTGGTTTAATATTGACCTGATCGACGCCAGATTCAGACAATTAGTATTTCTCAATACGATCGTTYGTTCTATATAAGTCTTATCTCACCATCGAGCGAATTAAGGGACTTGTACCCAGTCTCCAACGGTATGAAATCAGGCAATTTGTCCTGTCTATAGAACTAGAGTGCATGTTTTATCGGGATGTATACATATCGGAATCTCAGGTGATATTTCGACATTATACAGTTGATGGAATAGAATCTKGTTTGCCTAGCCTGTCTACATCAGTAAATTCCTAGCAATTTTATTCAGCAAGTSCAGAGAAGCGTAAGGTTCAGATAAAATTTACCTATATTGCATCTGATATAATATATATCAGCAGTCGTAGAGCTTTAAAAAAAGACTATAACTTTTTAAGATATATAGCCGTTGTAAAGTGCACTTAATCACTTATTTGGAGTAATTTTCGAATGATTCAAGACGTAATTGGCACTTCTGGGAAAAACAATATACACCTAATTGAAGAAACGTTGTCGGGTCCAAAAAGGTCAAATCATAGAAGCTAAGACCGAAAGGGTACTTGGGAAGACAAACAATTTGGCTAATTTCATAACAAACAGCTCTCCAGCATAAAAGACAAACTCCTGCTTTTAATCTTACTAGCTCTACTTGCTTAGTGTACACCGTATATATGCAAATGTAATCCCAATTGAGTGGTACTCAAAATCCCTTTCGGTCTTAGCTTTTATGATGTGACCTTTTCGAACACGACTACGTTTTTTCAATTAGGTGTATATTTGGATAAATCCCATATTTTTCACTGCATCATAACATTGTGCAATCAAAAACTTCGCAAAGGTCGTTTCTTTTTTCTTTTTTCTTTACATTTTGTAAATTGACCAAAGTTAGACGTCGGACGTCGTTTCATTCTAAGAGACTGGAACCGAGAGTGACATACACCCAAGGATTGATCCGCATGCATGAAGTCTGGCGGGAACTAGGCGCAATAGCGAATCCAACCATGACCATGACCCTCCACCATGACTCTCCACAGGGATCCAACGATCGCGAGGCTTTTATTGGCTACTTTGGAGCATTGTAAAACAATCAGGGATTTATCCAAATCGATTTTTATTTAGCAGAAGTGTTAAAATTATCATATCTAAAATTATACGAAAATTACTTCAAATAAGTGATTAGGAGCACKTTAAGATATAGCATTAACATTTGAAAAAACAAACTTTATGGCTATTTTGTGTTAGTGTGTATTATAGAATTACAGCCTTTATTCGTGAAAATAGTTATTGTTTGATTTATTGTCTTTAGCTTCTTTTTTTAAATTTGGAATTAAGGCCAGAATTATACTTCGTGTTATCGTCATACTGGACCAAATAATTTAGTTCAGATCAGTTCGGCGTGAGTATAGCATAACAGGGACACAGCAACGCCATTCATACTGCATGGCAAAAGGACGACGTTTCAAYGACATCGGGACATCTTCGGGATGCGCACGATGTACGACGCTCATATGCATATACAATTTATTTGATATGCAGTAACTCTGTGATCCTCTTTGGCATATTTTAATGTGACGTCAAAATAAACTAGGTCAATTTCATGGTATTTATAGCAATTTCCCCTAAAGACAGTTAACGCTTTTGCGACCTTTAACGTGCAAACTATTGTCCTGCACTGGGACTAGTTGACCTTATGTTGTGCTAACATTCTTCAAGACGGAAGTCTTACGTGTATGTTCCGTACTGTAGGAATTACAGCCATATACAACATTTCATTCMAATGGATTCTTTAATTGCATGAATCATATATTGTCTTAAAGTTTTGAAAGTTTTGAAAAGTTGTAAGATTGTGCGAAAAMGCATTTTCATTCGTAACAAAGGAACTATTATTTTCAAATAATCTCTTGACTGTAGACAGATTTTTATCTTAAAACTATGCTTTTGGTAACGTAAGGCAAATGCATTAAATGATAGACAGCGACATTCTCCTTGTKCYAAAAARCAAAAYATATTTCTCGATTAAGGAGAATTTAACTTTGGATCAATTTACCTTGATCAGATATCAAATTCTTACTTACTGTTTTGGCGAAGACGTTTGAACTGAAGTTCGAAGAAAACACGATTTGATCAAATATGTTTAAAGCCAAGACAGTCACTATGTAAAGGCGTTACTACGAGGTACTGTTTCAGTTGCTACAAATCGTC